TCGTATGATAATCTGTGGTTTGGGGAAAAACGTGCTATGCAGATCCCTGAAGTTTGGAAAATATTATTCTGGAGAATATCAACAACTCAGTAAGAAAAGCTTAAACTAGGGCCTTGTTTATCATGCAAAGATAACATTCCAGCCTCATTAGGTACCAAAGAAATACTAAGCAAAACTACGCTCCCTCTGGCAGCACACAAACTAAATTTAGAGCGAGGCAGCCTATCCCATGTCCCGGGGTGTGATGACAGGGCAGATACTGACAAATCCCGTGAGACTGTTGTATGAGTAATCAAGTTGGTGGTACTTTGTGGAGCAGGAAAAAAGGAGAAGTGAGATCTCTGAGATTAAGTAAAAACTCTGTTGTCTTGAATACTGATTGGAGATTTTACATTGAACCCATGTTATAGTTTAAAGATACTCATTTCCTAGCTTTGCCCAATGGAAAAAAATAGATAGACTAATGGTGAACCCAGAAGAACTGCCTCTAATGCCCTGCTTGAGGTCTCCAAATGCTATTTACCACTAAAAATAACCAGGCCTCTTTAGAGAAATAGCATATATATATATGTATATATATATACATATATATATGTATATATATATACATATATATATATATATGTATAATGTATGACTGAGAAGCACGTAAGTCTGGAATATCTTGTCAAACTGAAAAGCAAGCAACAAAACTAGCTAAGACCATTAGACTGATGTCCTAAGGCCTCAGGCACTATCTTAAAGAGGTTCTCGCTGGCCAAAGATGAAACAATCTAAACTTCAGTAAGAATAAAACTACAACAGAACCAAAGACACAAGTATATTTTAATCTCCAAGCTTACTACTCTACTAAAAGTAATTTAGAACAAAAAACAACTTATTTAATTACTGTTACATTTTCAGAAACAAAGTATCTGATACCCACAGTTAAAGAAGGAAAGGTTTACTCTAGCTCACAGTTTGTAGAGATTTCAGCCTGCAGTCCTCTGGTTTGGAGGCAGGACAGCATGGAAGGAGGCATGGCAGAGGAGAAACAGTTCATGGCATGGCAGGCAGCAGGCAGCAGAGTATCAGCGGCAGCAGCAGCAAACCTCGCTTTCCCTTTTGTTCCATTCAGGCTACAAGCCTATTAGTTCGTGCCACTCACATCAGGGCTGGCCTTCCCATCATTCATACCCAAAACTATACAAAACCAGTCAGTAGACTAATTTAGTGATCACATGCTCAATCCATTTTCACACACCCTACATCCAGCCAGCTCCAAAAAGCCCCACTTATGAATGCATGAGGCTTTGGAGGAGAACATCTCAGTAAAACCAAAACAGTTACTGGGCAAGGGTACAAATGAATTAGTTCATCATTTTATTTTATTTATTCATTCTTTCTGAGTCAGGATCTTGCTGGGTAGGTCAGGCTGATCTTAAACTCACTATGCAGCCCAGGTTGGCCTCAAACTCAAGAAAATCCTCCTGCCTCAGCTTCACAAGTGCTGGGATCACAGCATGTACCTCCGCCCCTGGACTAACTCTTTATTTTAAAAAAATTGGCAAAAAGATAAATAAGCTTTAGCTCACTGGTAAAGCACTTGCCTGGCATTCACAAGGCCCTGGCTTCAATTCTCAGTACTGCAAAAAGAAAAAAAAAAAAAAAAGAAAAAGAAAGAAAAGAACCCACATAGAGAATTTCTCAAAAAATTTCTAAAATTTCTCAAAAAACCAAAACCAATTAAGGAATTATTAATTTATTGACCATGCTAATATTTGTTAACTATTTAATAGTTAATTTATGGTGGTATCATTGTGGGGTTGTGCTATGTTTTAAAAATTTCTTTAGGGACATTTTATATATAGATTTGCTTCAGAATACTACAGCAGAGGTGGAGAGGAAGACGGGTATATGGATGAAACAAGATTGGCCATGAGATTAAGATGGGCACACAGGATTCCCTTTACTTTTATATGTGATTTTTTTTTTTTTTTGAGATAGAATCTCATTAGTGTAGTCCAGGCTGGCCTTGAACTCACAGTGATCCTCCTGCCTCAGCCTCCTGAGTGCTGAGATTACAGGTGTGTGCCACCACACTCAGACAAGAAATGGTCTCTCTTACACACTGTTGATGGTTGATGGGAGCATAAATATGGGGAGCAATTTAGCGGTATCTGCCCAAATGCCAGGGTACATACATTTGACCCAATAATTCTACTTTTGGGAATGCAACCTGCAGAGAAGCTCCCAAAGCTGTGCTCTACCACACAGTAGGACACCAAAGGGAAACTGCAAACACTTTTTTTTTTTTTTTTTTTTTGGTCTTTTTCGCTTTTATCGGTACCAGGGATCGAACTCACGACTGCCTGCTTGCAAGGCAGGTGCTTATGCTGCTGAGCTAAATCCCCAGCCCCTGCAAACACTTTCAATAGGCATTATTTAAATAAATCATTCTTAGCACCAGCAAGCATAAGCAAAGCTGCAATTTCTGTAAACAAGGGACATTAGGGAGGAGGAGATGCTTGGTCCTGGAGCTTCCAGGCATCACTGGTTCTGCTGGGATTCTCGGAGCCCTGGCAGCAGAGTCTTCATCTGATCCATCAGGATGAGTGTGCAGAGCCCACTGCCACTGTATGAGCTGGCCAAGCAGAGCCTGCCGAGGAGTGAGACCACACCCAGCACTGCTCACACAACTGCCCACACTGATTTTTCATGATGTATTCCTGGGGGATGCATTCCTGGGGGAACACAATGAGGTCTGGCTGTTCCCCTGCCTCCCTTTGAGAACCCTGATAGATGTGAGGAAACCCACATATACTCAGCTAGAGAGATCGTGACACAACAGGGAAACCTGCAGATCTTGGAAGACTCAATGGACTCGACATACAGCTGTCCCGGGAGATTAACTGCAGCAAGTGGACGCTGCAGATGCTGGGTTGGAGTGTTGTACACTAGGACCTCTGGACTGAAGGCCCAGAGCCATGTGTGCTGCTCACTCAGTAGACGTCAGGAATAAGGAACAGGCAAGCCTGGGTTAAGAAAGAAGATGCCAACCTTGAGAATATTGACACGCACTTGTTTTGAAACCTGCAGGTCGTCTTGTGCTGCCCATTAAATTACAACTCTGCCTCTTGAAGTGAGTCAGGAAGAGAAAAGCTGCAGTACACCTGCACCATGAGAAGGTAATGATCATGTCCAGTACTGTCTCTACAATCCTGAGGCTTCTCTGTGCCATGCAACTAGACTGTATCCATGAGCTGGACGTCAGCTCATGGTGACTGGGGTCGTAAAAACATGGCATTTGTTCCTCAGCTCAAAAAGATAAAATCTCAGCTTCATATTACCTTCCAGGCAAGCAGGAAGCCGAGAATTCGATTCCTCGTACCAAAAACAAAAAACAAACAAACAGAAGATGACAAACGTTCATGCATTTCACTTCAAGCACCTGAGTCCAGAAGTGTTTACTTCACCCTCAAAAAACGAGTGGCATTTCTGCTCCTACACTTTCCACATAAGGCAGGGGTAAAATCTCTGGGAGCTCCATGTAGACGATACCTTCTTCCTGCATGGAAATCTGCAGAAGAGCTTCAGGAGCCAGAGCCCCCTGGAAGTCCTCTCCTTGAGTTCAAGTCCCCTGAAGGAATCTGACCAGGAGCGTCTGTCCCAATGTGCAAACACAAGCCAGCAGAAGTCTCTGAAACAGGAAGTTTTCAACAAAATCGTTCAATCCTGAGACCCTCCAGGTTCTGCTAGACAAACTGGCCAGCAGCCTGGAGACTGTTGTACTCCCCCAAAAAAGGCCCCCCGAGATGAAAAACGGGGCAAGACGACATCTTTTTAAAAGAAGCACTTTTATTTTAGCTGGCCCAGTGACACAGTACAGATGGAATTTGCAAAGCTGTGCAACTGAGTCAGAATTTTGACTGATTTTTATAGTTCATTTATGATTAGCTCATTGATCATTAAGTACATAGCGATAAGAATCAGAACAAGGTGGGCCTTTGTTCCCCTGAGGTCAGTGGGTGTTAGTCAATTCATAGCCATTGGTCTGCCAATTCCAGGAACATTTGTGTCTCATAAAGGGAACAATGGTTGACACAGCATCATTTGTCAAGAGACAAATTTGTAAGAACAAGGGGAACAAAGGTTGACGCAGCAAACAGGTTACTGGGATTGGGGGGGGGGGACAAGGCATACAGAACAGCATGATGACACAGGCAGTTAATTTATAACTAATTTATAACAATGTGGTCGGTGCTCCAGGTACATGGTTACTAGGGTGATAAGCATAGAGCATAACAGAGACCCTGTCCTAAAGCACTCTGAGATCACAGACTCCCAGGTCCTTGTCATCTTGCCTGCCCTGAGCTATTGCTCCCAACTCGAGACTTTCAGTTGCAATGGTGACCACTTTACCCTGAGTATCCTCTATGTCCCACTGCACCTAGCCACTGGGCTGAGCTGGGTAACCCAGGGGCTGTGTCCTGCCCCCATGGAGAATATTCCCATGCATTTTGTGCACCCTGAGCAATGTCTCCAGGTTTGTGCTGAATTGGCAGAAGTCCCAAAGGCCATAAGACCATCTCTTAGGATCCAGATCAATATCTACTACCGTGATTTGTGCATGGTATGCCAGTTCTATAGACTGGAACCCAGTGGGAATTGGGAAGTCACAGGAGTATTACTATCAAAATAACATTAGATGCTATAATTGTGTGCATTCCCAGCTTGGTGATCACGTTTTCTTAATCTAGGTGAACCCCCAAAGCCTCCTGCTCTCACAGCTGAGGCTTTCAGGAGATGACAGGGGTCAGGGGGGCGTGACTAGTCCACTGAGTTCATAGCTTCCTGTGATATTGGGAGGCAAAGCCCGGTCAGAGGAGGTGGGCCACTGCGGGTGTAGCCTAGAGAAATTCATCTCCTTCCTTTCCCTGCTAATCTCTCTCTGCTTCCCATAGCCAGATCATGAGCAGTTTCTACTCTGCCATGCCAGCCTATGAACTAAATTGAAAGAC